GAGCCTTCCTACCCTCAAGCAGATCAATGCTACCGCCCAACTTGGCGTTGTCTGCAAAGTGACTGAGGGTGCACTCAATCCCCTCATCCAGATCCTTGATAAAGCTGTTAAAGACAACTGGCCCCAGTACTGAGCCCTGGGGAACACCATTTGTGACTGGCCATCAGCTGGATTTAACTCCATTCACCACAACTCTTTGGGTCTAGCCGTCCAGCAAGTTTTTTACCCAGCGAAGTGTATGTCTGTCCAAGCCATAAGCATCCAGTTTCTCCAGGAGAATGCTGTGGGAAATGGTGTCAAAGGCTTTACTAAAGTCCAGGCAGACAACATCCACAGCCTTTCCCTCATCCCCTAGGCAGGTTACCAGGTCATAGGAGGAGATCAGGGTGGTCAGGCAGGACCTGCCTTTCATGAACCCATTTAAACATTCTTAAACATAATGCATAATTGTTCAGAAAATTATCCATCTATAATATTCTACAAATGTTATACATAACATGCTACTGGCTTAACAGTTCCTATTCGAATGAATGAGAGTTGTGCTTCACAATTCATTTTGATAGAAGTACCAGTGCTAAGCTTTTGAAGATTCAGAAATCAATAAAACATTACATAATCACCCTTAGGTTGATCCCATCCAGCCCTATAGACCTGTGCATGTCTAAGTGGTGTAGCAGGTTGCTAACCATTTCCCTTTGGATTATGGGGGCTTCATTCTGCTCCCTGTCCCTGTCTTCCAATTTAGGTGCCTGGGTACTTGGACAACAACTGGTCTTACTGCTAAAGACTGAGGCAAAGGTGGCATTAAATACCTCAGTCATTTCCTTATCCTTTGTCACTATGTTTCCTCCTGCATCCAATGAAGGATGGAGATTCTCCTTAGCACTCCTTTTCTTGCTAATATGTTAAGACTGACAAGAAAAAAGGATTGTAGCAGTATGTATATACCTTGAAGCAGACACCAGTAATTGGTCTTTAAGGAGCTTTAAAAAGTATCTTTTAAATATTATTCTAGAAATAATAACAAAACGAGACCAGATGGGACCTCCAGTGGTCATCTAATTTGTTCACCAGTCATAGGGCAAAATCAGTTATACACCTGTCATTCCTGACAAGTATTTGTCTAAAATATTCTTAAAGATTTCCACTGATGGAGACTGTAATGCCTCGCTATGTATCTAATCCAGTGTCTCCTTGTCCTTGGTGATTGAAAGCTCTCTTTTCCCAGTATCTTAACAGAAGTATTTCTGTGCAAGAGTTTAAGCTCATTACCTTTGCTATCCACTGTGGACAGAAAGAAGACATTATTTTTTTGCCCCTGTGCATCAGCCATTTATGTATTTCCCCTTCCCTCTGCTGAGTCTTTATCTTACTCATTCCTGGGTTTGTATTTTTCCTCACAGCCTCTGTTTTCTAACCTCTGATAATTCATCTGTGTTTTGATCGCTTTAGATCTTATGAAAATTCTGAGAATTATGAAAATTCAGAGAAATGCATGTTTTCAGACACTAATTTAACACATTAAATATTCTCATCTCTATGATCACTGTCTGTTCACACAGGTAGTTTTTAGCAGGTGCTATGGGACGTGTTACGTAAGCCATAGTGCACTGCAGATGCGGAGCATGGCAGAAGAGAAGCTCTCCATAATGATTGATTCACATCAGCCACGTCAAGCAGCCTTTTGCTTGGAAGTAGATGTTTATAATTTTGTTGATGACATGACAGGAAAATTTTCTGCTACTGCTGAGTTGAGTTGGTCTCTTGAGCTGGAAGTAAGAATATGTCAGCTGTGATGTGGACTGGAACATGGATCCTGTAAGAGCTCAAGAGACAAATACAGGGAATATAAAAGAAGCTGTTAAGACACCTAGAACAGGCTGTGTTACCCTTCTCAGAGTACCATTTCTCTGGAGCTTACTGTATTACACAATAAAAGCTAAAAACTTAAAAAGAAGAATTGTTCTTACTCTCTTCCTTTATTTATGTTTAAAGTTATTTCTGTTTATTTACTCCAGGACATTTGAAATGGACCAAAGCTGAGGATATTGACATAGAAACACCAGGATCTATTCTAGTGAACACTAACCTGAGGGCTTTAATAAATAAACACACCTTTGCTTCTTTACCTCAGCATTTCCAACAATACCTCCTGCTTTTGCTTCCAGAAGTAGACAGGCAGGTAAGTAGCATCATGCAATATTTCTTTCTTTAATGAGACTTTTTTACAGTGTGTTTGCATAGGCTGATTTGATTGACTAGGAGTTGTTCCAGGAAAGAATAAGGAGAAAATTTCCGTACTTTCTTAGGTAAAACTGTTAGAAGTAGAACGACTGTAAAGTTTATCTAAGTGTCACCTAGCTCCTGCTTCCTTTCTTTTTGAAAACTGTGCTGCTGCCTGATTTGTCTAAAAGGAAACTGGTCAGCAAATCTTCCAAACTTGCCAAATCTCTTAATTAGCTTTTCTACGTATGGTGTTGAAGATAAACTTCTCATCTTCCAGACTTTATTTACATTGAGTCTCTTTTCATCTGTGATCTTCCTGGGCACTCTGCCAGCAATGTCCAGGTCAATATTAGTTCTGTTAGTTTCTTGTCCTCCTCACCTTTTACGCCTGCCTATATATGCATCTGCTCAGCTCCAGTGCACTGAATCCATTCGTTCACACCTTTTGTAAGAAAGTTCTTCAGAGCTCATGGCTGTAGGCTCGTATGGGTTGTTAATCAGTTCTGTTGAGGAGAATGATTTGGAGAGTGACAGGGTGGAAATAAAAGTTCAATTTCATGCCGTTCCCTACAATGTTTGGTCCTTCCTGCATTTGTTGGTCAGATTACATACAGACTGCTTAGAGCAACAAAAAAATCTTTCCAGCATGTCTAGCAGTTAAAGTAGCAAAGAGAGCCCAAAATAATTTCATTTATGCACTTGCCTCACTTCTGGATTTAAATAGTCTTACTGATTTCAGTGGGGAATACTCATGTACTTAATTCAGACACATTATGTTAACTAAACAGGGCATTATATTTTTGCAGATGGTCAGTATCCCTCTTTTTATGTAATAACTGTAGAATGCAGGTCACTTAAATGACTGATTAAAACTTGCATCTTAAATCAGTATGTTAAATACCATGGTTTCATTTCTGAAACTGTTAATAGTTAGTGTCTACCACAGTGACACAGGGCAAAGCAGTGCAATAAGAGACAAAAGAGAAAGAAAAATTGTATTGATGTACATTTACTCAGCCTCTTATCAAATTAGATACTGTATGTTGTGGACTAAAATTATGCACTTTAATAATGGAATATTTGAAAAAGAACATTAAAACCAGAGTCATAGGAGAAACAATGTAAATGTATTTATTCTCAGGCTCCCACAAGGCAGTCAAAGTCAATATTGACAAATTTTAGAGAGAGCCTTTTTCCCTGCTGTAAAACAAATTTTAACTTAGTGCCCAGCAAATATTTTCCTGATAGTTTTGATTTTTTTTTTCTCTTTCTAGTTAATTTACCAGAAGAGATTAAAAAAAAAAAACCTGCTAGGTAAAATCATGTTTTCTCTCCAACCATCAAAGATCCCCGTGTATATTTCAAATACTGGGGCCTTATTTAGAAGTTTCTTACTTGAAAATTTATATTTAAAAATGGAGGCTCTAGAACTGACAAGCCATTTACCTTCTTATCAATGTTCTTACAGCAGAGCTTTTGGCAAGAAAATCAAGAGAATATTTGTTGAATTTAATCATACCTCATAGTTAAAAGCAATGCATTTCTGTTTAATTTTTATTTGAGAAAGTGTTCACATAATGCATACATTGCAGGTATTATTTCAAAGGCCCAACAGTACATAATTGGACACTGTTACTTCGCAAGCAAACTAGTCACAAAAAAGCAGTTGTCGTGTGACATTTACAGGTGTCCTTCTGTCTGTCGTCTTCTCAGAGCATTCTGTGGGTTTGTGTAGCATACCATGTTTTAACATGCATTTGGGAGGCAGGAATCTCCAGTCATCTCTGGAAGATTCATGAAAATGTTTGGTCTCTAAGCATGATAGTTTGAGGATTGTTTTCTGGTGGGGAGTGAAACAGCCCCAAATCGTGACTTTGCGGAGGTCTTAGTAGAGAAAGAATTGCATCCCTTTTCTTGATATCTGAGAATATGTCCTTTGCTCTGCCTGAGGAGTAGCATCCCAGATACGGAGTGATGAAAGCAGTTGAACTGATAATCTTTTCCTTCCTGTGGCATGTGAAAAATGCCAGTGTAGTGCTCAAGGGTCACGTGAGAGGGAGAGAGAATTCCAGCCAGGGAGCTCAGGTGGGTGTCTCTGGTGTTGGTCACTCTGACTGGACAAGGCAAGGGTATTCAGTCTTCCTCTTTTACTTCTACTGGCTAAATCAAATGGAGCATCAGGCAAGCAAAAACTGTGTAAAACTATTCTTTGACTTAGCTGGCCATCTCTGAGGGTTCAGTTTCATTGTTTTATATAGTCCTTTTCTTGTTTTGCCTGAGAATTCCTACTCCTGCTTTTCTGGCTCTGAAGTGTTTCACCCCTGTGCTCTGCTCTGCAGTTTGCTGCTCTCTTCCCCAGAGAAGGCTGCATTTCTGTGTTGTCATGTGGATATAGTACGTGAAGTACTGTAATGAATTGCACTATAAAAATGTAATAGAGTTATGCTATTTGTGTATGTATAGTGATCTGTGAAATAAATTACTAATGAAGTGCAGTCTCATTTAGGCTTTATTACTGCTCCACATAGAAAAACCCTATGATGAATGATCCTTTGTCATTTCTGTCATAAACACCATTTTTCTGGGTGGTGTAACTCCTCCTCTTTAAATCGTACTGAGCCGAAACTTGTCATGCATGTGTCAGTTTGAATAAGCATTTTTAGAAACCATTAGTTAAGGGAGTTGAGGTTTTCTTTTTTTTTTTTTTTTTTTTTTTTGCATTCAAGTGTTTATTATAAATAAATTACTTCTCTCTCAACCCCGGTTAGTCTAATATGTTCAAAAAAAGTTCAGGGCCAAGTCAGGAGCTTCATGGGATGTGTTTTCTGATTTTTCTTTTGCTTTCAAGTTTTGTAGTTGCTATCAGGGAGCCATGGGAGCCCCTTATGGAACAAGAGCCATGGGACCCTATGGAACAAAGGGCCTTAGAAAGATGTTACAGAATGGAAGAAGTTGAGAACAACTCTCCTGATGTTGTTGCTGTCATTTTTCCTACTCCAGCTAGATTTTTGACAAAGTGGAAGTGTAGGATCATTGCCTTTTTCTTTTCCTTAGGAAAAGATAAATTGTATCACCAGTTATTCACACTTGAAATTTATTTCAGCTTGTATATTATTTTAAATTTTATTTCGGTAGCAATGACGCCTGTGTGTAATTTTCTGTATTCAGAATGCCTATAAAAGAAATTGGAGCAAGTTGGCAGTTATGGTAGATATGTTTTATCAAGGATTTTATTTGCTTTCATTTGGGATCAAAGTGAAATTGTGGACATTTTTCAGAGAAGCAGCCATGACTCAGGCTCATCTATTTAGCAGACTGCTCCAAAATGTTGCATCACTGGGTACTGGGAACATCATCACGCCTGAAATGTGAACATCCAGATTTTCAAACTCTTTGTTGATCTATATGGATTCAGAGACCTGAAAACAAAGCTCAGCTGACAGAGAAGCCTGTTGGGTGATCCCCCAGGAGACCTAGATGACTGAGCTGTCAGTAAAGAAAACATGGAGGTATAGAAACTATATGGAAAGCAAAGTCTCTGCACAAAAGATTTCAGTTGTCACAAATCCCAGCAAAGTATTTTTCTTTTCAGCTCCAATTAGAACAGTCTACAGCTGAAGAACAATGGCATTTTCATCAAAGAAATACCTGCTTCTAATATTAATACATCAAGCTGAAAATTACATGTAACAGAAGCCTTCCTGACCACCTCTCAGCAAATATTCATCTTCAAAGCAAGAAGTCTCTCTCTGTATCTAGATTGCTATACTGCATCAATGCCTCTTTAAATATTAATTAAACAACGTATGTTGTGCAAGGATGAGTAACAGGTCTGTATGACAGGTTTCTGAAAAGGAATGGCAGCTGGCGATATCTTGTCTACACCAGCTTTCTTTGTTGCTGCTGCTGGGGAGTCAGATTCTTGCTAGTAACTCTGGAGTATGGGCAAAAGGAAGTGAAATACACCCGTGTAGTAAGCTTCCAAGAAGTGCTGCCTCATCTGAATAGTAGCAGAAAGCTTAAATGATTTTACTCATCCTTAGAGCTCTAAAATGTTCTTTCCTGAATGCTCTGAAAAAGCGTGTCTTTCCAGACTCTACAGATGCTTAACAACTTTCTGATCTTCGAGAATTTAACTCCCTGTCCTGTGTTTTCTCTTCTGGTAATACTGGGTTCTTCTGAGCCTCTTGTGGTTTGCACCTGCCCTGCCCTTTCAGATAGGATGGGAATTTCCTCCTGCAAAAACACCCATGAAGGATCTCAAAGCCTCCTCAGACCTGTGTGTTAGGTTGCCGTGCCATTTTATCTAATCAAACCTGCTCATGAAGAACATTTAAAACAATAGAGGATATCCTAGTAAAAATTATATCTTGTCTTAGCTTTACTTGTTTTAGGAAAGAAATTTAGCAATCTTTTATTTTCTGAATCAATCTACAGTTTAAAGATAGTCAAGGTAGTTACTTAAATTCAAAATTCTGAACTTAAATATTCTTAAGGAAATACTTAAGCCATGTAGTATTGCGGAAGTGCCTGTGAATATTTCAGGTTTATGGTAAGCCAATCTACTAAAAAGAAAAACATGACGTACAAATTGAAAGATTCTAAAATGGGTCAAAACCCACCTTAATCTCTTTCTTTTAATTTCTGTATCACTGAATCCCAAATCAATAGCTGTCTCTTGGGTCAGTGCCAGTATTGTTGTTATGTAATAACATTACAGCATCCTGTCATTTTAAGGTCAGCGCAGGTTCTGTGTTTCTGTCTTGGCCTACTCAGTTTAGGTTCATGCTGGCACTTCCAGGTTGATTATATCACCTTGCATTGAGAAAAGGCACACGTTGATGTCAGTTAGTGGTTTTCTCTGTTCTGTTTAAAATAGTTAGAAGTAATTTTGGGGACGTTACCTACAGAATTCCATTTCAAAACCTCTTTGCTTTCATGTAGTATGAATCAGCT